GTTTTTTCTTCTTTTTTTTCTCAAACCAGGGTATTGTCAGTTGACTCACATTTAAGTTTGCTGCTGCTTTCTCCTGCCAGCTCAAATCCATTGTTGAGTCCCTGGTAAATTTTTGTCATTATTGTACTTTTCATTTCTAGAATTTTTACATGATTCTTTTTATGTTTTCTCTATATATATTGATATTCTCTATTTGGTGGTACATTGTTCTTATACTTTTCTTTAGTTCTTTAGTATTTATTTCCTCTAGTTTTTTACAATATACTTATAATAATTGGTTTTAAATATTCATCTGGTTCAGTCCAACGTCTGGGCATCCATTAAGGATAGTTTCTGTTGACTGATTTTTCCCTCTGTGTATGGGCTATATTTTCTTGTTTTTTTTTTTTTTTTTTTCACATGTCTCATAATTTTTTGTTGAAATTGATCATTTTAAATATGTTGTGGCAACTTCAGAAATCACATTCTTCCCCCCTCCGCAGGTTTGCTGTTGATGGTGTTAGTTGCTCATTGCTTATTTAGTGACTTGCCTGAACTAATTCTGTAAAGTCTGCATATTTTTGTTGTGTATGACTGCTGAAGCCTCTGCTTGGTCAGCTTAGTGTTCAACTAATTATTGGACAGAGGTTTTTGTTAAATGCCTTCAACCACTATGTCTCTCAGCCTTTGCTGAAGCGCCCTCTGTGTATGTTGGGGCATGCTTTCCATGTTCTGGCTGGCAGTCAGGCCATGCATCTCTGCCTTCCCCTTTACTGCTCTCTTGTGCAGAGCTTCAAGGTTAGCCAGAGGTGATACAGCACCTTCTTGGGTCTTTCCTGGGCAGGTACCCAGCCTTGCTCATACGTGTGGCCCCCTAGTTTCCTAGAAATATGTCAGAGCTTTTCCGAGTTGAACATCTTATTTTCCAGTTTTTCCTTGTAAGCTCTTTGGTCAGTGTCTTGGCTCCAGTTGTTATTACCATCTTAGGAGCTGCCATAGGAAGCAGTTGTCCCTGATTTTTTGATCTTGGTGGCTTCAGGATAAAGGGTCTTGCACTGAGCATGCTCTGAATCATTTTAAAAAAAGACAAATTTTGTGAATGGGGGATTTCAGGAGATGCCATACAGGTCAGATAATGACAGTTCTCTTGGAATGGGGATTTTTTTTTTTTTTTTTAAGTACAATTTCCATTTCATTTTTTCCAGAGAATTTTTTGTCAGTCCTTAAGGACTTAGCTCCTTACATGGACTTTGCTGGAGGTTGTGGGGCAGCACCTGCAGGTCAAAATGGGGGTGTTTGGTCCTTCGGGGTTCATGAGGACAAATCCTGACTTCTTGCTGTGAATGGCTCAACTCACACAGAAATGGAGTTTCACATACATCTTTGGAAGCATAAAAGCAAGGAAGAACCTTGCTTAGTAAATGCCCCTAATGGCTGTGGCCTCTACTGTGTTTTGAATGATGAACTTCTTCATGCCCTTATCCTCGGACATGCATTGGCATAGTTGGTGCAACAGATAGGGTGCACGGGCCGCAGCCTTTTCTCTGGCACTACTGTTGTTCCCCCTCTTCTTGGTCATTTTGGAAGCAAGGACCGAGAGGGGCAGAATGGGAATTTTTACTGAGCTGCAGACTTGTTCAACTCTTTCCTGGGGCTGCGAGGCCGCTGGTTTTCAGACTGCTGTAATTATGAGGCTGTTGGGTTTTCAGCTGGTAAGTTGGAGATGGACATAGGGCACAGGAAAACAATAGAAAACTTGCTATTCTTACCAAGATTCAAACGTTTTTCTTGAGGCATGATCCTCGGATGGTTGTAAGCCTTTACTTAATTTCCAGAATTTTGAAAAATGTGATTTTGCCAGATTTGCCGAGTTCCTTATACTGCCATTTTTGAAGGGCTACCTGTTTGCTTTTGTCATTTGCATTATTTTATCTCTTTGGAAGGAAGTATTGGTGACATATTTTAAAGATTTTTCGTAGTCTCTCCTTTTCTCTAAGTTGGGTATGTGTTTGTTCATGTCGGTCTCTCTCTCTTTTTTTTTTTTTTTATCCTCACCCGAGGACATTTTTCCATTTTATTATTCAGATAGAGCGGGAGGGAGAGAGAGGAAGAGAGGGAAACATCGATGTGAAGGGACACATCGAGTGGCTGCCACCCGCACGACCAACCAGGGCCGGGGACAAACTGCAACCGAGGTACGTGCCCTTAGCGGGAACCGAACCCGGTCTCTCAGTACCGCAGGCCGACGCTCCAACCGCTGTGCCAAACCGGCCAGGGCAGGTCTCTCTTTTTCATGTTAGAATCCTTGCTCATATATTTTAGAATGGTTGTCTGGGAGTAGTGGATTAAAAAGCCTTCACCTGAGTGTACAGGTGAAGTTTGTTGACTGTGAAGTTACTAGTATTTGTTTCTAGGAAATCATTTTAAATTTATATTTTAAAGTATTCTAGGAAGGGATAATTAGGTCTGAATCCTGTAGTAAAATAAATGAGAACTAGATTGAAGAATTGAATATGAAATTCAGAAAAATCTGCAGAAAATGATATTGATAATTTGTCAAACTAGTAAAGAAACTTACAAAACAAATTTGGGTTCAGAGGGTAATTATTATTTATGTATTTAATGTGTTTGAACATGTAAAACTCATCATTTCAGACTTGTACAAATTGACAGGTCCCAAGAGAGGCATTTTCTATTGCTGCACTCAGAAGTAGCAGACAAAAGCCATTCCGAAGGGATGCTTTGTTGGTATTAGACTTGTCAGGTTACTGACCCCTTGAGGTGGTAACTGATAGGAGCCATTGTATTGGCCTGAGTGGAGATTGAGGCAGCTAGTCAGACAGGCGTGTGAAAATAGAAGGAAAGGCATGCCTGCCTGAGGGATTCTGAATTAAGGTGCAGTTGCCAATAACAGTAATCTTTTTAGCAGTCTCCTACCTAGCTGTTTGGGCCTGCCAGTTGTGGGTAATGTGGCCACAGCGTGCAGACATTACCACAGATAGATGATCTATAGATTGTTCCACAGTTGCCACTGGTAATGGTGAATTAGTCTCCCAGGAATGGAGGAAATAATTGCCCCCTTCCAGTAATTTCAGGAACAAACAGACTAGTGGTGAACCTTGTCCCTAACTTGCAAATTTGCAGGCATGCTCATGTCAGAGGGTGTAGTTGTGACACAATAAAATGGTAACTTGGTCAGGGCATGCCCTGGCAACCTGTCTAATGATATTATGGGCTTTTTAAGCCATTGGAGATCTTGGCTACTTACAAAAGGGAAGGTGATGGAAACATAAGATTCATTCTAAAGCATCTTTTCAGATCATTAGTAGCCACTGTATTTGAAAGTGAGTGATAATTTTACTTATATCTGGTCTTGAGATCACAAATAGATTTGTATTTTAAAGGCCAACTTTGCTTAATTGGTAGTAGCTGCCTGGAGTAGCTTTGAGAAAGAATCTAAGGCTACATCTGGACTTAAATGGAAAGATGGGTCCAAAAGATTATTAGTATCTACCATGGAGTGGGAAGAGGGAGAAGTATATCAGACTAGTTGATCTTTTGAATTTTACCTCTATATGCTGACGTGTATTTTTTACTTTCCTGTTGGCTAGAATTCTAAGTAGAACAGAATGAAGTAGAAGCTATAGAGAGTAGGAACTTCCCATATTCAGCATCTAGCTAACTCTAACTCTGCAAGTTCAGTGAACTAATGAGTGAACTGAGACCCGAACGATTGAAATATCTGGTTTCCGTAGTGATGGCAGGGGACAGGATTGGTACAGCTCTCACACAGATATCACTCTCCTGCATGACAGTGTTTGGTGTGTACAGAATACTAAAAGAATGTAGTTCCCATCTCTACCCACAAGGAGATTTCAATCTCATGGTTAAAATGATGAGAGCTTGTGTGACAGGATGGTTTGTAAGAAAGTGCTAAACTTTCAAGTTTGGTCTCTGAAATGGGTGGCATAGGTTTGAATGCAGAAGTATATTACCTTGGAATCTTAACCTTTATACTTATTGAAGTGTATCTGTGTTTTGCTTGGGAAAGCCTCTTTTTACTTGACCCCACCCCCACTCCAATTTTTCTCTCATGTTTGGTGTCACTAGGATGAAATACTGAGTTTTGCTTCAATTTAAATGTCAAGGTGAAAATGATCCACTAATTAAAAAAATAATATTATGTTGATTTTTTTTAAAGATCAGTCACAATGTTTGTAGAAAAATTATTTACAGCGTTGTTGGTTTTTTTTTAATCCTCACTGGAGGATATTGTTCTATTTATCTTCAGATAGAGTGCGAGGGAATGGGAGAGACGGAGAGGGAGGGAGGGAGGGAGGGAGGGAGGGAGAGAGAGAGAGAGAGAGAGAGAGAGAGAGAGAAACGTTGATGTAAGAGGGACACACGACCCTGATCAGGGCTGGGGACGAACCACAACCAAGGTATGTGGCCTTGGCCAGAGTCAAACCCACGACTCATTGGTCCACGGGCTGAGGGTCTAACCACCAAGCCAAACTGGCCAGGGCTATAGCATTTTTAAATTAAGCACCAATCACAGAAAAGAAAAACCTTTGTAATATTAGAGCATTTTGAAAATCTTTATCCTAAGTAATCAGCAGAATCTGCTTAGAAAAAAGGAGAAATACACTCTTTTCGTAATGTATATACATTTTATGTAGAGTAGTAAATTTAATACAGTGTCTGAGAGCATGGGCTCTGGATTCTTACTGTCAGGGCGGGAATCTCCACTGTATCATATATGCAAGCTAAGGTGGGGGGTCTTGATTTCTTTATCTGTAAAATGGGGATGGTAATAAGGCTGTTATAAAGGTTAAACAAGATCTTTCTATGAGAGCCCTTAGGTCAGTGCTTGACCTTACAGTAAATACTCAGTTATTGTTGGCTGTTGATATTATTATTGATGTAGTTCCTGTTTTTGTTATTAGGTGGATTTGTATCACTGATTTTTTTTGTGTGATGATTAATAGTTTTTACATATATATATTTTTTCATTAATACAGGTTGAATGTAATATTTACAAAATTTGATGAAGTCCAAAAATCTGGAAACATGATACAGTCTGCAAATGGTGAGTAGAAAAAGCATTTTTTTTGCCTTTCCAATTTTATGTCAATAATGCTTATGCTATTTCTGAGCAGCTGAATTTAGTATCTTGATAAAGATTTCTAGGTCTCAAGGCTTAACTTCAATTTACCCACTTTCCAAGGCCAGAAATTATGGAGTTGTCATTGATACTCTTTTATAACCTATCTTGGGTCCATCATCTGATCCTGTTGGCTTTACTTTAAAAATACATCTAGAACCCCAGTGATTCTCACAGTAACTGCTACTCTTCTCTTAGCGGAAGCCGTCATTGTACTAACCTGAGCTTTTGTGGCCTCCTAATCAGTATCCCTGCTTATACTCTCTCACAACACCTAACAGCTGTTTTTCACCTGGCAGTCAGAGTACTCCTTTTAGAACGCAACTTAAGTGATGTTAATTCCCTATTCAGAATCCTCCAGATGTTTCTTATCTCACAGAGACAAGAATTCAATGGCTCGCCATAGCTTACCAGGCCCTGCACGCTCTGGTGCTGATCACCATTCTGATGAAATTTTGGGTTGTTCTTCCCCAAAGTTCTCTTGGCTCTCAATCCATTGGCCTTGATAATTTTGAGCATTCTAAGCTTCTGTTTCAGGGCCTCTGTGCTTATGAATCCTTCTGCTTGCAACATTTGCTCCTTCTATATCATGGCCGTCTTCCTCATTCCATCCAGATCTTGACTGTAGTATTGCTTCATTACAAAGGCCATTCTGAATAGCACACCCAATTTTCTAAGGGAACTTTCTGGCCCTCAATGTACTTGATTTACCTTCTTAGTATGTAACACTACAAAATATTTTTTTATTCATGAGGGCAAAAACTTTGCTTTATTCCTTTCTTTATCCTTAATGCTTCAGCAAGTCCCTGGCATGTGGTAGGTATGCAATAAATATTGTTGAATAAATAAAATAATAACTGAGACTTGAAATCTGACCTATTGTTTCCATATTTGTATTCCTTTTACTGTAATTTGTGATGATATTTGAGGACAACTGGGTAATTCTTGTGATTACAAAAGGAGAAGAAAAGACAAGAGTAAATTACTATATAAATAAAGTCATCAAAGAGACAATTGCTAACAAGAACTTTTTCATAGTCTGGATACCTTATTGCATCATAGCTATTTCAAAATTGCTGGGGACCTTAAATCATTGTGTAGTTTTCAAATTTTGAATATCTTGAGGCTCTAAAGAAGTTTGAGTGATTTCTCTCAGAGTGATATATATGTAAAGAAGAAGCAAATTCAGGTCTTTTGACTTAAATTTGCTGTGTACCTACCATTATCAGTCAAGAATTTGTCTTTAGAAGGCATGTTGCTTAAAGTGTTCTAAAAATGCTTTTATTAATTTCCTTATTTTCTTTTCTAATTCCCTTTATTTCTTTCTTTTAAGCATTTTTTACTTTCCATTTCAGTTGACATGCATTATATTAGTTTCAGGCTTACAACCCAGTGACTAGACATTACATACATAATAAGTGATCATCCTGATAAATCTCCTACCCATCTGACACCATACATAGTTAGTAGGCTATTATAGACTATACTCCCTATGTTCTATTTTATATCCTCATGACTATTCTGTAACATCCAATTTGTACTTAATCCTTTTACCTTTTTTGCCTATCTCCCCAATCCCTCTCTCATCTAGCAGCTGTCAAAACATTCTCTGTATCTGTTAGTTTACTTCTGTTCTGCTTGTTTATTTTTATTTTTTTAGATTCAGTTGTTGATAGATATGTATTTATTGCCATTTTGTTGTTTATATATATATATATATTTTTTTTATCCTCACCCGAGGACATTTTTCCACTTTTTGTTCAGATAGAGCAGGAGGGAGAGAGAGAGAGAGAGAGAAACATCGATGTGAAGGGACACATCGAGTGGCTGCCACCCGCACGACCAACCAGGGCCGGGGACAAACTGCAACCGAGGTACATGCCCTTAGCGGGCACCGAACCCGGGTCTCTCTGTACCGCAGGCCGACGCTCCAACCGCTGAGCCAAACCGGCCAGGGCTGTTTATATTTTTTATCTTCTTAAAGACGACCTTTTAACATTTCATATAATACTGATTTGGTGGTGATAAACTCCTTTAGCTTATTCTTGTCTGGGAAACTCTTTATTTGTCCTTTGATTCTAAATGATAGCTTTGCTGGATACAATAATCGTGGTTGTAGGTCCTTGCTTTTCATTACTTTGAATATTTCTTGCCACTCCTTCTGGCCTGCAAAGTTTCTTTTGAGAACTCAGCTGATAGTCTTATGGGTGTTCTCTTATAGGTAACTAACTACTTTTCTCTTGCTGCTTTTAAGATTCTCTCTTTGTCTTTAACCGTTTGTATTTTAATTATTATGTGTCTTGGTGTGGACCTCTTTGGGTTGATCTTGTTTGGACTCTCTGTGCTTTCTGGACTTGTAGGTCTGTCTCCTTCACCAAGTTAGGGAAGGGTTCTCTCATTTTTTTCAAATAGATTTTCAATTTTTTTGCTCTTGCTCTTTTCCCTCTGGCACCCCCATAATGGGAATGTTGGTGCGCTTGAAGTTGTCCCAGAGGCTCCTTACTTTGTCCTCATTTTTTTCGATTCTTTGTTCTTGTTGCTGTTCTGATTGGGTGTTTTTCTTCCTTATATTCCAGATCACTTACTTGATTCTTGGCTTCATCTACTCTATTGTTGTTTCTTTGTAAGTTATTCTTCATTTCAGTTAGTGTAGCCTTCATTTCTGACTCTTTTTTATGCTGTGTTTTGAACTCTGTATTTAGTAGATTGCTTGTCTCCATTTTGTTTAGTTCTTTACCGGGAGTTTTGTTCTCTTCTTTCATTTGGACCAAGTTGCTTTATCTACTCATTTTGGCTACTTCCCTGTGTTTGTTTCTGTGTTTAAGGTAGAGCTGCTACATATCCCAGGCTTGGTAGAGTGGCCTTATATAGTAGGTGTGCTGTAGGGTACAGTGGCACAGCCTCCCCAGTCCCCCCAGCTGGGTACTCAAGGTGTGTCCCACATGTGGGTTGTGCACACCCTCCTGTTGTAGTTGAGCCTTGATTGCTGTTGGCACATCAGAGGAAGGATTTATTCCTAGGCCGATCAGCTGCAAAAACTAGCTGTGGCTATTGACCACTGACCTGTGACTGCTGTGGAGGAGCAGCTGTGCAGGGGCCCACTCCACAGTATAGGACTTAACTTCTCCAGGGTTCTGGTGTCCACTGCGCCTGCCCTTGAGTGTGTTGCTTGTGGAGGTGGTTGGGTGGTGGTGTTTCGACATCTCTAAAGCTGTCCAATGGGTGCGCCGGCTCTGGGGTCTCCTAGGAGGTATAGGCCAAGGTCAGATACCACCTGTGTTCTGTCTGGGGCCACCCAGCATAAGCTACAAAGTGATCTGCAGATGGTTGCTACTTGTGCTGGGTTTGGAGGTGCCCGGGCAAGGCCAAGGTATGAACCACGGCTGGCTGCTGCTAGTGCCAGGGCTACTTAGCTAGAGGTACATGGCATGCTGAGGCCAGATGCTACTTGTTTGAGAGATTTTATGAAAATCTGAAGAATGATCCAAGACAGTCCATTTGTATGGAAAAGCCACATACAATAGCTTGGGTGGCCTGAAAGTTGGTTGGAACGGGAACAGAGAATCACCATGTCTGGACAAACAGTGTGAGCCAGGTTACTGGAGATTCAGATATGGCGCCCATCTGCCAGCTCTGTGTGGGTGTGGGGGGAGGAGGGTGCTCATCAATGGAACAGTAACCTCTGCCAGCACTTCTATCTGGAAGAAAGCTGCCCCTCCAGCTCTCACCCTGAAGCTAAGCAATTCAATTTCTCCCCTATATTTCTGGTGCCTTTCAAGCTGCTGCCCTAGGGCTGGAACTCAGAGTGAGTCCAAGTAAGTCCGTGTGTGGGCCCTTTAAGAGAAACTATGTGGGATTCCAGCAGCCTCTGTCTTTCTCACTCTCAATCTCTGCTGGTTTTTACAGCCAGAAGTTATGGAGACTTCTCTTCCTGGCTCTGGAACCCTGGACTGGGGTTCCTGGTGCCAGGCTGGGACCCCTTGCTCCTCTGGGGCACCTCCACAGCTGAGATATCCCTCCTGATTTTTATCAGCCTCTCATGGGTGTGGGACCAGCCTTTTCATGGTGGGACCCCAGCCCATTCCTTATCTGCACCCCTCCTACAAGTCTTGATGTGGCTTCTTTTCTAATTCCCTAGTTGTAGGACTTCCATTCAGCTCAATTTTAGATGGTTCTGAATGATGATTGTTCTGTAATTTTGATATGGTTGTGGGAGGAGGCAAGTACCTTGTTTACATACATTGCCATTTTGACTGGATTATTTTCTTACATGTTTATAAAAACAATATTAAAAGAAAAAAATAGTATTAACCTTAATCCATTCATCACCAGTAAATCAGTTTGCATTTTTTATATTCTTATATAATTCATTTTCCTATAGTTGTGTAATTTATATGTAACTTTAAACATGATATAATTTCTGTACATTATCCCCTACTTTTATGTGTGCTTTGAAAAAAGTACCATTGGTATTGCTGGGATGAGAACTATGGCCTTGGAGTTGTGCTCCAGTGATGAATGGGCTTGATGGTATACATAGGTAGGGCTACCCAGCTAGTTGCTATGCATGTTTTTAATTGTTTTCATGTGTATTTGTGTTATTTGTATGGTTTACCAGTTCAAAACTTGTTGACACCAAGGTATAATAAACTGGGCAAGGATGTAGTAGTGGTGGCAGAAGAGTAAGTTTGTGCTTCATAGCCCGTGTTATAACTGTGAAACAGTGTCCTTATGATGCTGGCCTTGGGGGAGTAGGACCACATTCATATTGGAGGCCTTGCCTAGAAGAGAGAGAAAGTGTTGTGTATAACTTTAATGAACATGACTCATATGGTTTAATCATCAAGAATACCAACATCTTTTGGCATTGGGTGTGTCACAGCAACATTTTATTCTAAATGTCGAGGTGTAAATATTACCTCCAA